CAGCAGCGACATGGCACCAAGTTTGGTCAATGCGGAAGGATATTTGTCTTTAACCATTTTAGCTATCTTTTCGCGAAACCATTTGACTGACGGCGTGTTAAATTCTGACTGCTGCATCAGGATAAGAGACAGCGACAGCAAGCAACCCTGCCGGACGAAGTCGACAGGGTCGGATAGCATTGGCTGCAATAAAAGCAGAGACTCGGGATCTCCAGTACCAGCGCACGAAATTCCTATGGCTAGGCATGCACCGTAGCGAACATGAGGATTGAAGCTCTCCGCTAATAATGTTACCAGAGTTGGTACTCTACGCGGACTGCGAAACAAGACCAACCCAAGACACGTGACAGCAGCTCTGCGCACATCATCTGAAACATCAGACACAGCAACGTGTAAGAGACGCCGGACTGCAGAATTGTGCGCCGTTCCAACATAAGCTAACCCGATCGCATACATACCCCCATACCGAATGATTGCATCACGATCTCGACAGAGCTGCTCTATCACTGGCTCAGCAAGATTCTCTTGGCCAAACCCAATAAGAGCTAATGAGAGGACAATGCTGCGAATTATTTTTTCATGTGCTGTTTCATGAGCATAAGCCATAAGTTCGGTTGTAGCAGTGCGGGCTAGCTGTGTGCTAGCACCATGCCCTGCTAGAATTAATCCAATACCATAAGCGGCGGCCTCTCCCGCCACTGCGGAGTCGAAAAATAGAATGGTTTTCAATTCGTTATACAGTTGTGGATCACCGCTTTCCATCGCAGCAAGACCAATTCCTAGGCATGCACCGTGTTGGAGGGGCTCTGAATTGCCAGCATGTCGGATTGCATCTCTCAGTAACTCAATCACCGCTGGTTGTAATTGAGATTTACCCCTGTTGGCATGGATGAGCCCGAGAGCATACAGCGCCCCGCCTTCCGAGTATGGTGATGACGATACCCCTTGATTTGAGGGTAGATACGGCTGTAGCAATTCAATCGAATTTTTTGTATGGCCAGAATGTACAACACCAATAGATGCAGTCGCAGTGAATTTAGCCCAATTAGAAGCCTTTCCCATCCAATCAAGGTTCTCTCTTAGAAATGTGGTGTCTGTCGTGCCAGCATTCATGAGGCTGTGAGTAATGACTATGGCATTATGCAACATCGAGCTACGATTGCCGTCAATAGATTCCTTGATATTTTTCAATATAAGAATGTCAGTCTCGCACTTCGACACAAGGAAACTTCGTTGCAAATCACTCCATAAACCGTCGATTGACAAGATGGAGGCAAGTTTTCTCACACGACTCACATGGTGTTCTACATCACCGTCAATATCTGCTTTTACAGAACAATTTGATTCCTCTCTCTTGTTGAGGGACTGTATGATATCATGTATGAACTTTTGGCTTCCAGATTCGACTAAATTAAACGCAAGCTGAAAGCCAAGGAGCATCTGGTTCTCATCGCCACAAACGAGGCGAATCAGTAACTGACAAATCCCTTCCACCTCCCCGATCATTTGCCATGCATGACACAGGAACAAGTAGTCTGGTTCGTCAAAAGATTCATGTAGTACGATGAGCAAACGCACGACGCTGTTTCGATAACTAGTGTTTTTTACTAAAATCTGATTTGCTTCAGCTACGTAGCTTAAAAGCTGCGGGCGCTTCGAGCTTGGACAGTTGGTTATTACTTCTTTTATTTTAGTCAACTGCTGGGCTTCAAGGGCAATCCCAATTGCGTGCTCAAATTCGCCATCATTAAAACATCGGAGGAACATGCGTTCTACTATAGCTTCAAGTCTAGGATCAAGAGATGCTTCCGGGGATCCAGCTGCGTCACAAGTTTCGGGTGCGGCGACGTACTTGTCTATGCACCTTGAGACTAGCGTCTCAACATATTCTGAACGGATAGTGACATCAAAGTATGAGCCGGCACCGAGTGCTAGTCGTAGAGCTTCATCATACTCTTCGAGGTGAAAAAAAATTTTGCTTGCTAACGCGGCAGCGAGTTTGTGTCCTGGAAATTTAACATCCTCGCTCAATTCCTCGATCAGCGACACAACATTCGCCATTTCAGCCCAATACTGATCGACAAGACCATGCAGGCGTAGCAGGGCCCCCTGACGGAGCGAAGAGCATTCCTCATCCAACGCTGATATGATGCCCGCAAGCGCGAAAGGAGACGACATGCACA